CCTAAATATGTCTTCAAAGCTATGTTCCTTTCTCCATTAAAAACATATTTTTCTCCCCGTCATGAAGAGCAAACAATACTCTTTTTTATCAGTTTATAGTGCATTTTGCATTGTAGACACAATTTGTGTAAACAAGAATTTGCCGTACCTATTAAATATGGGTTGAAGTCCCACCCCTTGCCTGTAGCTACCTGTATGTCTTCAATGCCCAAAGAACAAAACAGCATGTAACATATGTACTTGCAAAACTGAGGGGGGAATAACTACAGGGGAACACAGAAATAGGTACAGGTACAAGAGGTCACAACAAGGTACCCCTTAATTCACTGGAGGGGAGGCCCTGATTTCAATGGAGTCGTACCTACTTACTCCAGTGATTAATACTACTCTCGTTCTGTAAACATTCACTCCTCTTTAATAATGCAGTGCTGGTAAATCCATTCCAAGCCATTCAAAGTCCTGTTTATCGCAGCATGTTTTAGGTGCATCATTTTTCCAAGTGCTTCTAAAAATAGAGCAAATGCTGGAACACATCCCTCATTCACAGTACACAGAACAATTTTAGCTGCCTCTTCTCTTATGGTTTTTGATAATTTTTGCAACAGAATTTAAAAGTATCCCTGCAGCTACAATCTGAAGGTGATCATCCAAATATGTCAGATGCTCTTTCCTCCAGGGAAGGCATTTTACAACTTGCATATACCTGAGGATACACTGACAGGCTGATCTAAACTTATTTAAATTGGGCCTGATCAGATTGGCACGGAAATCAGCCTTCTTGCAGTAAAGTTATTCTCAGAAAAGATCAGTCAGGTCATCTAGCCTCACTGCTACCACTGCATTATATTCTGTCTGAAAAAAGTCTCTGCGATGCACTGCATGACATTTGAAGCATTTTTTCATTATAAGCACATATCCTTCTGTGAATTCTGAAATTGTTTTGTTAGTTTTATTTGTAAACTTGTTACAAATACTTTATATTGAATTTGTGCACACAACTTGCACTTCAGCTGTTTGCTATGAAAATATTTATTAGGAATGGGAACTTAATATAGTAAATCAAACACTTAACATTTACCAGACCTCAAAGATAGACATAAACTATTTTACAAAATTTCTTTATGGAATTACACAAAACAAATGCACAGGGTTTGTCTATGTTTACATTGAATTACTCCCAAGCCAAAAACCAAAAATTAACCCTAAAAAGATCACAAAAAGGCATGATAAACTTCATTTTTCATCATTGTTGCACTGGTGTGTAACAAGCCCTTGTTACAAAATATTACTGTTTAAAAAAAAAAAACAATAGAAAATGTATCCCATCTAACAGAGCTATTGTACTAACAGCTGATTTTCAAACTGACTTTACAACATGAAAGCCTATTAATAGAGGTACCTTAGTCACGTAATTTTAAAATATGGAGAATAGAGATAGAAAAAATTAACCTTTAGTAGTCTTTAATATAAAATGCACTAATTTCCCAAAATAAGAATATTATGACACACTAGTGTCAATTTATATTGATGAAAGCTGACACCAGCTTCTTTCTAACTAAAATTCATTTCACAAAACTTTATATATTACATGAATATTCAAGTAAACTATTTCAAAACATTTAAAAGCACAAGAGCTGAATTGTACAGTGTTTCAGATTGTTAACTTAGGAGTGATGTTATCTCCAACTATATATATTTATAGATATATATTTTATTCTTTAAGACCATCGTGACACTACCTGATGTTGCAAGAAATTCCTTTCAGTTAATGTTTATCATTTTTTTCCATTTGCAATTGTTAAAAATAAAAATCTCAGTTGCATTTTAATCAGAAAATTATGACAATGGTTTAACTTGTTGCCAGCTGCTGTATCCCTTCTCTCTGTGTACTGTGGCCACCTCTCCTGTGAGGTGCTGAGCGTTCTCAGCTTCCTATCATTTTGATGGGAGTTGAGGCTGTTCAGCATTTCACAAGTGGCAACAGTGAAGCTGCTGTAATTGGGTAACATTATAAAAAGACAAGCTAAGCTGGATCCTGTCACAGCTGTATACCATGTATCCACCAGTATCAAATTTCAAACAGAACTGTGACAGAGTAACACAATTCTTGCAGGGCTCATTCCTTGTCTCTATCAGCTGGGAGGATGTAAAATATTTTATGAATGGCTCTTAACACTGGACACCTACTGTGTTGAGGGGAGTCGCTCACTAGTCTTGGTCAGTGGCTTTTTGACAATACGAGGGTTCCAGTATCCTTGACATCCTCTGCTGTGGGAAACTTTTGGATCAAAATAACCCACAACAGGAAACTGGAATGAAAAATGTAAATAATGCACAGTTGATATTACTGTGAAAATTCAGTAACACATGCAAGACAATGATGAAGTCAGAACGTACCAAAGTAGCAACGGTTAAAAAATTAGTAACGTTTTCACAGTGTCTTGTACAGCCTTTTACTTTAACACAAGTGCATCACTTACCACCACTATTGCTCAAACATTTTAAACATCTCTTGGTCATGCAGATCATATTGAAAAGAAAATGAAGCAAATTACATTTATTAGGCATTTTTGGACATTGAATACAACTTGAATTTTACTTCAGATTTTCAAACTATCAAACTACAAGTGGTTCCCAGATATCATTTGCTGTAATGTTGGGCTTTAACATTCTTATCTCAGTTATATCCTGAGAGTGCAAAATGCCCGGCAAACTAGCCCCAGATACAGTTAAGCATTGTTAAGTCAAATTCTTGAACAAACAGAAGCTACAGGCATCCTCTTAGTTTCTTCCTATCCATTCTTGAGACTGCTGAAGTTTATTCAGTTGCACTATTATGCCTTTGCCTCCCAGAAATGCTAGCTTGCTTGGGTAATTTATTAAGGAGTAGAACTAGACTTGAGAACAACTGATATTTTCTGTTCTAAGAACAAAACACACAATTCCATTTTTCCCAGTTTGCAAATTTCTATTTGACACCACACCACCACCACCACCACAACTCAATGTTATGCCATAAAACAAAGACTCACTCCATTGTTGTACACAGCTGGGGATGGGGAGAGGGAAAGAAATCTAGCGTATAAATTGGAGGCTATAGCTGAGATAATTGCTTGCTGATAAGGAGAGAATCCAGCTTCCCCTTAACTATCATTTCATAAATTAATAATTTGTTAAAATCATAATCACAAGGATTTAGCTACTACACAAAATTCAAGTTTAAAAAAAAAACAAGAATAAATTAGTTACAGCCTTGTAAACAATTGTTCATTTGTGTAACATACTTGAAAAAACGTTTCTCAGTATAATAAGTCAGACAGGACAAGGCACGCATTACACTTAAGATCCAAAGTGATAAAACCAGCTGATGCCTTCATCTTCCTTGTTCGCTGGTAGAATTGTGCTATAGGACACGGGAGAAACGCACGGGATTTTGTTTATATTAGTCATTTGAATGTTTTCCATGATGGCACTCTTACTGCTAAAACATTTGTGCTATTTTGTAGTGTAGTACATTTCAAATAAGGTGAATTGAATCTTCTCAGATGTTTTCTACAAAGCTGCCAGGGAAAAGGCCTGTTTTTCCATTTCGTTGCAGTGTGCCTTTGAACCAGCCATCCTCACGTTTTTTGTGTACAAAAACTATGTCCCCTTCTTTAAGTTCAAGTTCTGCTTCACTCTGAGGAGGATAGGAAACCACAACCCTGTATCTGTACAATAAAAAACGCATTTTAGTTTAGGGTTTTTAGTTTAGGGCTTGTGAAATTTAGAAAAAAAGTCCTATATTTCTTACAACTTATCAGAAGAGGAAACTGCCTGAAACTGAACAAACAAATAAAAAATAAACCTCATCTTGGAGACAAAACAACAGTAATAAAGAAATCCAAGTCACATGTATACAGGATGTCTTTTATCATAGAATCTTTCAATGAGATCCCTGTAAAGATTTATACGATTGTGGCAAGCAATGGGAACAAAATGTAAACATATTTTTGGTATAAATGTGCTGTTTACTTCCACCTAGAGTAAATCAACAGTAACCAATCCTAATGTGTGCACAGCAGCCATTCTACTTAATTTCCCCACTGCTTAATATAGTGCATATTTTAAACAAATAAGCAAACAAAGCATGAAAAAAAAAACAGAACCCCCCTCAAAAAAAACCCAACACTACCTGAAAAGCATTTAATGTAGAACTTGTATTTTTGTCTGCCTTTCTAGAAACCATTTTCAGGATGAGGGCATGCTGCTATTTTTATTTAGACCAGCGGTTCTCAACCTTTTGCACCTTACGTCCCACCTACGTAAGGTCAAAAAATCCTGGTCCTACTGGTTGGGATGGGGTGGGGGGTGGTCCCCATTGGCCCACCATGGCACTTCCAGTTTCGCTGCTGTGACCCAAGTCCCACCTAGAGGGCCTTCGCATTCCACCTGTCCTCTAGGGTTGAGAAACCCTGATTTAGACAGTACCTTGTACATTTTGGGAGCTAAAAAGGTCAAAGGTCCACCTGAATCCCACAGCCTATAGTGGTCAGATGGTTAAGGCACAGCAGTTTCTGTAAACAGCAACAGACAAGCTTGTCCAACAGCTCTCTCAACTATAACATTGGTCCAATAAAAGATACTGCCTCTTAACTAAAACAGAAAATGCTGAGAAATTCAGAGTAAACATTGACATGCTAGTTGTAACTCACCTTATTTTGTTTAGTACCCGATTCACAATGGCTAATTTTGCATCCACTATCTGCATGCAAAACAGGTTCCCTTTACACAGATGCTCTTTCAGCACATTTTACCTTTTTAAAGGTTAAAGAAAAACAAAAACTAAATATGTACAACAAAATAAGAATCTTCAGAGAAGTGTGCCAACGCAGTAAGTTAGATTTTTTTCAAGGTCTCTTGGAAAAATGTTATTCCTTTAAAAAAAAGGGGTGGTACAGATCAGGAACTACACTTGATCTGAGCCGACAAGAGGCCGAGAAGTGATGAGAATGAATCACTTGTCAAATGTTATATACCTACTGATGTATGAATCAGAGCCACCTCTGAGTTATTAGACCTAGAATGGTTCCTTTAGAACTTTGTGGATTTACTTGATTACATGTTGGAAAAAGAAGCACCATATTTACTTGCATAAAACACACATTTTCCCTCCAAACCAGCTCAGGGAAATTGGGTTGCACATTATATATGAGAGATATAAATCCCCAGAGGTCCAGAAATTTGGTTGCAGGCTAGAGCAGTGACTGTGATAATCGTTGCAGGTCTGGGAGCCACAACAATTAATGCTGCCACTACTCCCCTGATTCCAAATTTCCAGAGCCCTGGGGAGCCCTCCAGCCAGCTGACATGGCCAGTCCCCACCCAGACCTACTGGAGAGCTCTGGACCTGGCATATAGAATCATCTCATGGTTGAACCTATGATGTAACCTCTGGACTACTTGGCAAGACATAGCAGGCTCAGCTCAGGTCATGGAGTTCAACAGAAAGGCTATTTGTTTGTCAAGGAAAAAGTTGAAAGCCAGAAAAGATCTAGCATCACCCCTGGACATGCTTGGTATTGATACATCCTTTCATTTACACTGGCAATGAACTAATTGTTAAATAGCTTTGTGTTTAAGCTCAGACTAAACCAGTGCCTTATGCATATACACACAGTACCAGCTGAATCATATTCAAAAGAAAACTACTGAAAAATGGATCCCAGTCAAGGCACCTGCATGCCTTCTGTTTGGACCCAGTACTACACTTCCCTATAAACATTTGTTCAACTTAGAATGATCTCGGTTGCAGCTTCCAAAGCCGTGTAAAAAACTGTAACCTGAGCACAAAGAAATCTTCCTGTTCTTTCTCTAGTTCAATTTTTGATATCTGGTCTGTAAGCCTGTTACAGCTTTGCAAGTATTCACTTTCTCTACTCCTTTAAACTGTCAGTCTCTGAAAAATGACTTTCCCAGGCTCTCCTTATACTTTGAATTCCCTCATCTTTGCTTTAGACTACTTGCCTTTGCTGCTCTGTATATTGCCAGATACTCTGACATCCATCTTATAATCTAGTGCCTAAGATAGTATATGCTATTCCTTTTGTTTTAAATGGATATATTACCCAATTTATTCTCATATTCACAGAAATCTTTCCCCCCTGCCAAAATTAGGCTGTGTGTCTTAAAAGAGGGGAAGCTGATTTTTCTTAGCTGGAATAGAAATATGCACACACTATACTCCAATGGCTCCTAAGGTGGCAGCCACTTGTCTCTTGCCCAATGAGCAGAAGGATAGAGTCCCGTGTAACACTACAGCTGTAGCTCTTGGCTGTAGCCTGTGTATGAAAGAGCAATTGAGTCAGGGCAAGTGAGCTGCTGCATGTGGTCTGTAATATCTTGATGAGGCTTGTGGTGTGGTGGAAACATTCTGTTTCAGGAACTTATCTAAAGAACTATTAGTGAAGAGATAGTGAAGTAGTGACAGTCTTGCTACTGCTCTTGCACGGGTCTGGTGCCTAGCTTTGTTGCTGTTCTGCTGCACCAGGAAGTTGCTGCTGCCTCATCTCGACTGCCTCCTGGGGTGCCACACTCCCTCGATATTCTATGTTTCCAGAAAGAGTTACATCATGTCACACAGTTGACCACAACTCTGGAAAAAATAATTTCTTCTACATCCTGCCTTCTAAAAACATTATGCATCTTACTTGGAAGTGTGTGTTATGCAAGAAAATGTGGTACTATGCATCCTAAATTGAGTAAGACATGTCTGTCTGTCAGTGTTCATTAGAATCAAGCCTCTCTTTTTATGTAATGACCTGCCCCACAACTTCATATGATTTTTATATATTCCCCCTCTTCAACTTGATTATGTAGAACCATGTTGAGAATCACCATAAAACCACATGGATGTCCTGTAGTCACTCTCATAAACAGCTGTGTAACCAAGCACTTTCACAATAAATGTTGTATTTCAATACACTTGTTAACTTTAAAGACTTTGGGATGTCCAAGTACATTAAGTTGACTGCTTTAGCTCCTTGAAGTAATTAATTATGCTTTTTGTTAAGTGTCACATCCCCTTTGGAAAGCATGTTCACTCAAATCCATTTGAACATTTCTGTGTTCAATAATTCTAAATATTCCCCCAATATGAACCCGGACTTACAGACCTGTGTTTCCCTCAGTATTCCTGGGTCACTTTTTCAATTATGGCTGTTACGTTAGCTTGCTTCAAATGCAGAGTTAAAAGACTCCACTGTGTTTTAATTTATTCTCTTTTTATTAGAATTCTGGAACTTGGTCATTTGGTTTGGGGAACTAATTACATTTGCCCACTGAACAACACCCCTTACCTACGCCAAACCCATTCTATGTTACAATTCCTTTCTTTCTTATTTTCTAAGCCAAGCAGGGAAACTCCTAAAGTTGTACCTTACCCTCCTTGTTCTCTGTAATCAATGATGAAAAACTTTTAACCTCCATAAAAGATCCACATTACTTGTCACTTTTTCCCCTCAATACCCTTCAAAGCACCTATGCATCCCACAGTTCTCATGAACTTTTCATTTGTGAATTTTTTTTGTCTTCACCATTTTGGCCATCTTTTCATTTACAAAGCTGATATATTCTGAATCATATCATAAATCTATGGGGTAAATAGTGTAGGAAAAGCAGTCCTTTCTTGTGCTTTTTCTGTTTTCTTCTCATTTTATACTTCCCTGCCTTTCACTGCCCATAAAACAGTAGGATTACTTCCTACTGAAAAGTAACTGATTTTGAGGCAATTTTATGAGTGCCTCTCTTTGTTCCGTTTTATGAATCAGTAATCTGATCTCTAAATGGAGAAAATCCATGCCTTTTCACATACAGCAAATAGTAGTTAAGGAACACTAGAAGAACAAAAATTATATTTCTATAATGACATCAATTAAAGTCATACAAATTTAATAAGCCCTGCTTTTAATTCTGACTGAGGCCTAAATCTCAATTCTAGCATTATTTGTCATAGCTCATCCAGTTTTCTGGATGAGCAACCTTCTCCAATTTGTCCTCAGGTTAATTTCTTGGCTATGGATGCTGAACCCTTTTGAGGCTTTTGGTGCTACCAGATCCATTTCTCCACTCCTGGTGAACACTTACCCAAGAAGGTCACTTTGTATAACCAGGAAGTTGATGTCATGCAGTCATTTGTGTGGTGGATAAAATTATGAGAACCACTTTAATCAAGAACAAAATTACTCCTGTCCTGCACTGTGACTGGATGAAAGCATTTGCTTGTATTATAATTTAGGACTTGCAGTGATGTGCATTTAAGCTCAATATCAGGTTTTTATCATCATTGTGGGGAAAGGGAGGTTTCCCTTTACAGTACTGTATGCTTCCCATAAACCTTTAAAAACTCACTGAACCCATTCTTCCTATAAGAAATGGTTTTCATTGAAATTCTCCCTTTACCTGTTGTAGAAAACACAGTTAAGCAACTTTTAAACCCGATTAAATAATGTTCTCTTTATATTTGTTAAAAAGCCTAACGTAGTTTCTATTAGGGTAGCCAGCTTCTCTGGAAAAAACCTGGCTAAAGCAGCAGGGGGATTCCATCTTTATTTTGTTGGCAATTATGTCTGTATGAGAATAGGGCCTGAAGGCACTGTATTATTTTGATAGAAACAACAGCATAAGACAGTGGCAGTGAACTCAAGCCTCAGTCCCTGCCTTAAAAACTGAC